GCAGAAAGAAAGACACCAGGAGCACGTGACATCCCTTCCGGCAGAAAGAAAGGTCAGAAGGAGGCTGGGATCTGACTGGCTAGAGACCTCCCCCTTGTACAATGTATCTTAAAATTATTACATAGAAGAACAATTGTTAACAGAATTAAAGAACTATATAGACAGCACCAGAGTAGTGGTAGAAGACTTTAACATACCACTCTTGCCAATGGATAGGTCAACTCAAAAGAAACTTAACAAAGATGTGTAAGATCTTAAAATATAATCTGTAAATTCAAACTTGTGGATGTATTCAGGGCACTGACCCAAATAAAGTCAATTTACTTACTTCTCAAGTGCACATGATACATTCTCCAGAATTGATCATATGGAAACAAAGCAAGCATCAAATATTAAAAAACATTGAATTAATACAAAATATCTTCTGAAACCATACTATTATAAAACTAGAACTTAATGACAAGAGGATTAAAAAAAATACTACATAGAGAAAAGAAACAGCAAGATACAGTCCCTCAGTTAGTCCAGGCAGCTCTCAGTCCACAGCAAGACCCTTCTGGCACAGGAACCTCCAATCCCGGAGAATGAGCTCTGTCCTCTCTGCTGCTGCTTTCCTGGAGCTGAGGTTCCTGTCTCAAGGGCCCTGGTCCCACTCCATCTGGCTCCGGCAGGCTATACCTTGCCAGCGTTGCCACAGTCTGGTCTCAGGGGCCCTGGTCCTGTTCCATCTGGCTCCAGCAGGATACACCTTGCCAGCATCAGCCCAGTCTGGTCTCAGGGGCCCCGGTCCCACTCTGTCTGGCTCCAGCAGTCTACACCCCGCCAGCATCGCCCCACTCTGGTTAGCTTGCTCTCTTGCATTGGCCTGGCACGTGTTGATAATGTTGAAGGTGCTAATCAACACTGAGCCACCAACCACAGTTGAGGCAGCTGGATACTCTGCCCCCGGGGAGACTAAGGCTATCTGTAGAAAAGCTGTGACACAAAGTCCAAACACCACACCTGGATCAGGAGCACTTTGTCTCTCAACTGGCATCCTTGTTCTTTGGGACTTTGGAGAAGTTCTTGATAGCAGATTTACCGATTGCAACTCTTCCTTTGATCCCTTGACTGCTGCTACTATCAGTGGTGATTGTGAATTCAAGTAAAATGAAGCCGTTGACAACGTCAGCCTTTTCACCATCTCTCATGATATTGCCTATTGGCCCAGTGGTGAGGATTTTTGTTTTCTTGATGTTGAGATGTAGTACTATTGAAGGCTGTAGTCGCTGATCTTCTGCAGTAAGTATTTCAAGTCTTTCACTTGAGAGCAAGGTTGTATCATCTGCATAATGTAGGTTGTTGATAAGTCTTCTTACAATTCTGATGCCACATTCCCCGCCCCCATATCATCAAGTTTATCTTTGAAGGCAAGAATGAGGATTCGCCTCACATACTTTGGGCATGTTGCTAGGAAGTGCTGTTCCTTGTAGAAGGACATGGTACTGGGAGGGGTGGAGGGTCAGTGAAGGAGAGGAAGACCCTCAACCAGGTGGACTGACACAGTGACTGCTGCCATGGGCTCTAGTGTGTCAGGAAGTGTGAGGATGGTGCAGGATAGAACAGGGTTCAGGGCTTTTGGTCACAGGGTCAGTATGAGCTGTACTCGACTTGACGGCACCTAACAAAAATAACCAGCTTCTAAAGAAATTAATATTTGTGCCCATGATGAAATGGATTGACTGAGTGACTGGGGTAATGGAATAGGTGTGTCAGAGACAATAAGGTTGGCTCAGGATAGAGCAGGGTTTAGAGCTGCTGCACTTAGGGTCGCTATGAGTTGCAAGTGACTTGGCAGTACATGACAACAAGTATTAAAGGGGAGAAAAAGGATCCAACATGCTGTGGGGATTACAGAACCATAGCTGTGTCAATGCCCAGAGGGTTCAGCATTTGTGAGATGCGGGGATGGTGCCCTCACGGGCTGGTGCGGGGGCTTGGGAAGCAGCATGGTGACCCTCATGTGTCCTCCACAGCCACGGAGAGCTCTGAGTCCTCACAGTGCACGTCGGGGGACAGTACAGGCAGCCCACGAGGTCCTCATCTAGAGCTTGATGATGATGATGAGGCTACCTCAGGCTCTAGGCTGCCCTCCCAGGGCTCCTCCCCAGCCCTCCCCAGCAGGACTTCACAGAGGTGGTGTGGTGGACAGGTCACCACCTTGGTGAGTGTCTCCCTCTCTGAGGACCCCAAATGGGGGGCACTCAGAACAAGCCTGATTGCTGGATTCCTGGGTCTGACACACCCCACAGTGGGTGGCCTGTGATGTATGATGTGTCCCCTCGAATGGTCCTGAGTGGAGCCAGTGGAGCTGTAGGCGCTGACTCCTGGCTCAGGTGTGACCTGACTATGGGACCAGACACGCTGCTTCTGACCTTCCTCTCAGCACCTCCCAGAAGCCATCTTCCTGAGAGCACTCAGACACCCACCTTTCTCTCCGAGCTTCCCAGATATCCTCCTCACAGAGCTCCTCTTTCCTGACCATATCCTGCTTAGATGAAGTGATAGCTCGGGAGGCTGAAGAGTCAGGAGGCCAAGGTGCTCTGTGAGCCTAGGATGGGAGGCTGAGCAAAGCGCTCATTGCTGCAGACACGAGCCTAGACTGAGTGCTCAACTCTGATGTTTCCTGGGGACGACAGCCACCTGGCCGCCACAACCTCAGGTCCTACAAACACCAACAACCACAGACCACTTCCTGTCTAGACTGTCCAAGGGCCTAACAGAGTCAGATGACCCTAATCCCACCCAGAGCTGTGTGCCCAAGCCCAAGTCGCCAGACACATTAACAGTGGTGATCACCCAGAGTGGACATCCATGTGAAAGGGGAGGGCTACTCAATGGCGGACGTCCCCGCCTCCTACAGAGACAGCTACGGACATGACAGAAAGGGCTGCTCAGATGGAGATCCTTAAGGCTTCCCAGAGAAGTGACATCGAAGTGATGAGGGAGGTCCCAGGTGGAAGTCCTTGTCCTCCCAGGGCACAGGCAGGAGGTGACACAGGCAGAGAAGAGTGTCTCCCCAGGGGAAGCTCTAATCAGGGAGGCCCCGCAGGGCTCCTCTGCTTCTTACAATGTTGCTGGAGCTCTGGGCTCAGTCTGTCACACTGTGGCCCAGGCACACCCCTTGGTTTGGGAGGAAGAGTCCAGGCTCCTCCGGACAGCATGAGAAGAGAAGGTCCCAATCACGGGCAGTGGGCGGGCACCTCTCATCAGTCCCCTCCTCCTCATCAGAACAGAATCCTTCGTGGCTCAGGCCTCTCCACGGTAGTCTGACTGGAAGGCAGAATATTCCATAAGCAGCAAATTTCCCAGCTAACCCACTTTCACAGGGCAGCTTAGAGGGCATTCTGAACCACGCTGACCCGATGCCAGCTGACCACATGGCCCACTGCCTGTCCAGACCACAAGCCAGTGCATGGAGTACTAACCACACCAGTGACAGGCCTCCTGCACACCGAGCCCTGTCCACTAACCTGCTTCCCATGCCCAAGTTGCAGCCTTTCTGAGGGACTCATGGTCATCAGACCTGCCCAGTAGTGACTGCCTCTTTATGAAGTCGGGGACTCACACTTGTGTTGAAACCCTGGGGTCACAGAACTGACCAGCCCATCCAGCCCTCCACACTCACTCCCAGAGCCCATTCATGACTGGACACATCTGGGTGCTGGATGGACAGGACCCTCACACTAGGGCCACTGGAGGGGAAGCACTGCTCCAACCTGCTGGGAATGCTCTGGGCCAGCTCGTCGGTTCTCAGTGGAACATGTGGCCACAGGCTCCCGAGAGGCTCCGTGCTGCCCATGCTGCCCAGCCACTCCTGAGGTCACAGGACGTGAGGTGGTGATGGGGGGTGAGCGAGCACCAGCCAGCCTGTAACGCAGTCTGATTTTACAGCTGTGACGGACCCAGCAAGAGCCCAGCACAGCGGCCGGTGGAGCTGTGAGCATGGACACCATCTGTCGTGAGGGAGCAAGACTCAGCCAGGGTGTGGCTGACCTCGAGCCCCTGACCATCCTGGATGGCACTCTGACTCTGGATGGGCATGAAAAAGGCACCCCCACTTAGGAGAAACACCCTTAGTATAGGGGTGTTGTGGGGGCACCCGCTTGGGAGGGGCATGGCAGAAACACCCTTAATATAGGGATGTTGTGGGGCACCCCCACTTAGGAGGGGCATGGCAGAAACACCCTTAGAGTAGGGTGTTGTGAGGGCACCCCTACGCAGAAAGATCCTTACTATAGGGGCATTGTAGGGCACCCCCACTTAGGAGGGGCACAGCAGAAAGACCTTTAGTATAGGGATGTTGTGGGGACACCCCCACTTAGGAGGGGCATGGCAGAAACATTCTTAGTAGAGGAGGTATAGGGGAGGCACCCTCACTTAGGAGGGGAAATCAGCAGCTGGAAACTCCTGGTGCTGGGGTGATCACCTCTGTGATCACGGGCCCTAGGGCTGGGCTGGTCACATCTGAGTAGAGCCCAGTAGGGTCTGTACAAGGTGCCTGGTCAGGTCTCTGGGATCAAAGTCACCACCCTGCTCCCCTAGCATCCTCCTACCAGGAACCAGAGTCAGGCCCCCACTTCCTGGGGTGCAGACCACAGCTTCAGGTACAGGAGTGGGGTCACTCTGAACAGGCCTTGTGCCTGGTGAATGCAGTTGGTTAGTTTCGGTAACTAGCTGTAGGACCTCTGCCGCTTCCCCCAGACCCTGGGGCCCAGCATTGAGGTCACTGCTGAAATGGACCGTAAACTAGGTGTAGGTGGCAAGAAGGACAGGTAAACCAGGTGTTGGTGTCAGGAACTGCTTGTCAGAGGGTCAGACAGAAGATGGTTTTGCTACTTGTCTACCTTGTTTCAATACTGACATGTTTGAAAATTTGAAATAAAAGAGACATTTGACCCCTCCTTATGTGCCTCTTACTGGGCCCTGGAAACAGCAGGGGAGTCCCTTCCATAGGGGCCTGCTCACTGTGCTGACTGGTGACAGGTCCTGTGGGATCTGACTGGCCTCAGCAGCACCAGAGCCAGGAATGGACAAGGTGGCCTGGTCCTGCTGGGCAGGAGTGACCCCACCACGGGACATTTGGCTGGCATGGCTCTGGTAGTCTTCTGACTCAACCTGCTTGGTCCCCCGGGGACTAGGGTGTGCTGGCCAGCCCTTGTCCCTGCCCCCACTCCCTGACTTCCTGTTGAGTTTAAAGGGAGACAGTGACCTTGAGGCTCACATGGGAAGGCCCCAGAGCCCAGCTAGACAGGTGTAGGGTGGGACCCTCCAGGCAGGTGGGTCGGAAGTGGTTGGGCACAGCGGGCCTGGCCGGGAAGCCTCCCAGAGCAGGACCTAAATGCTGACGTGGCCTGACGGGGTGGGGTGCGGATGTTGCAGTTCAGGCTGGCATCTGCAGCCCCCATGCCAGCCGGTGCCCAGGACTGAAATAACTGTCAGATGACAGGCTGGCCGCACGGCAGCTGCAGCTAATAATAGGCCCGAAGGAGCGCAACTTCCAGAGAGGGACCCCTGCGCTGCCTGGGCGCCGGCGGGACCATGAGGTCGCTGCGCTGTCTCTCGGCGGAGGCCCTAGCAGCCCACGCCCCGGCGCCCTTGCACAGCCTGGACTGCGTCGCCCGCGATCTCTACCCGCTGCTCTTCAAAGCCAGCTTCCTGCTGGAGCGCACCGAGCTGCTGCAGGCGCTGCTCACCCAGTGGCCGCTGGCCGAGTTTCGTCTGGGCGCGCTGCTGGCGCCCGGCGCCGACCACCCCGGGGACCTGCGCGACCGGCCCTGCAGGCCGTGCCTGGAGGCCTGCGTGCGCGGCCTGCGGGCCCACGTGCTGCGCGCAGAGGGCCGCGCGCGCCTGCGCCTGGTGGACCTCACAGGGCTGCGCGACGTGCAGGAGCCGCAGTGCCGCTGCGGCCACACTCTGGGCCGCTGGGGCCGTACGGCGCTGCTGGCCAGGGCCTGCTCCGAGCTGCGGGCAGAGCACGCCACCGGCCACCCTGTTGAGGTGCTGGCGGACCTCTTCGTCACCGAGGGCAACTTCGAAGGGGTGGTGTGTGCCCTGCAGCTCGCAGACCCTGCGCCGCTGAGGCTGCGCTGTGCCACGCTCCGCGCTGACAGCCTGCGCCCCGCTCAGCTGCTGCAGGTGGTGCACCTGGCGGGCCCCGAGGCGCTGCGCCGGCTGGAGGTGGTACACAACGTGCGTCTGCATGCAGGCCTCGTGGAGGAGCTGCTGGCGCGGGGGCGCTTCCCCAGGCTGACCGCGCTCACGCTGCCCGCCAACGCCCTGGATGCGCCGCCCCAAGGCCCTGCGCCCCAAGGCGAGGACCCTCACCTGGCTGCCATCGCGCGGGCGCTCGGCCAGATGACCCAGCTCACAGAGCTGAGCGTGGCCTTTTCCACACTGACCGGCAAGATCCAGCAGTTGCTCGGGTGAGTGGGAAGAGGACCTCCTCTGGGGACTGGCAGAAGCCAAGATGTATTTGTGTCAGGAGTGGAGAAATGGGACTGTGCAGTTACTGCCGGCTCTGCAGACCCTGAGGGACAGGGAGGTGGAGGGTTGTGGAAGGAATCGAGCAGGAGGGACAGGAAAGATCAGGAGGTGGAAGGCATCGAGCAGGAGAAAGAGGGGGTGGTCCTGGGAAGCCAGGAGAATTCAAACCACACCGTGCACACACTCAGACTCTGGGTCTGGAACACAACTCTGCCCTATTAGGAGCAGATTGTCCTGCCTACCCTGTGGAGAGGCTGCCACATGGACATGCCTATCCTTGGCCGTGGTCTGCTGGCCTCCTGCTTAGCCAGTGACAGCTCACTTGTGTCTCCTTGCTGTCCACAGCCCCCTGCAGACCCCGCTGCGGACCCTGGACCTGGCCAACTGTGCCCTGAGCCATGAGGACATGGCTTTCTTAGCCAGCTGCCCCCACACCACCCACCTAGAGGTGCTGGACCTCAGTGGCCATGACCTAGTCAGTCTGTACCCTTCCACCTTCTTCCGGCTGCTGGGCCGAGCTGCCCCAGCCCTGCGGGCCCTCACCCTGGAGGATTGCGGCCTTGGGGACCAGCATGTGAACAGGGTGGTCCTGGGCCTCAGCCCCTGTGTCCAGCTGCAGGAACTCCGGCTGCTGGGGAACCCGCTCTCTGCCTGTGCCCTGCGTCGCCTCTTCGCTGGCCTCTGTGAGCTGCCCCGGCTGCGGAGCATCGAGTTCCCAGTGCCCAGGGACTGCTATCCCGAGGGCACTGCTTACCCACAGGACCAGCCGGCTGCGTCCAAGTTCGACCAGCAGAAGTACGAGGAGGTGGCAGGGGAGCTGCGTGCTGTGCTGCTGCGGGCTGGCCGCCATGACATCCAAGTGTCCACGCCGCTCCACGGGGCCTTTGACCCTGACACCCAGGAGACGAGCCATGAGCTGGGTGTCTTCCTGCTGCAAGCCTTCAGGAGTGCACTGGACAAGTTCTCGCGAGCGTTGGAGCAGATGGAGTAGGTTCTGGATGTGAGAGGATGGGGTGTGGGCCACAGAGAGCTGCTGTCCAGCACCATCGGGCTCAGCCAGTGCTGTCCTGCTGGGGTAGTGGTCTAGAAGAGAACGGTGCTGACCTGGGCAGTGTGGACTGAGCACAGGGTCATGGGGAGTTGCCATCCACCACCCGCCAGGCTCAGCCAGTGCTGTCTTGCTGGGACAGCTGCTCTGGGCAGTGTGGACTGAGCACACGGCCACGAGGAGCTGCTGTCCACCGTCCTCCTAGAAGATGGGTGCCTTAGTCTCAGCCCATGGGGGTTCTGCAGTCTGGATCAAGCTCCTAGGAGAAGGAATTGTGCCAGGTGGGCATTCCCTGTGCTCAGAACCACCTGGAATAAGTTCCTTGTGACTAGAACACGGGGCCGTTTCTCCCCGTGTGCTGACCAGTTGGCTTCTGTGTAGGGAGAGTAAATGGAAAGATTTTCTGCCTCGTTTACTTTACAAAGAGGATCGTAGTAAACTCTTAAGCAATCAAGACATTAAAACAATCCAAAATGGAAATAAAGTCCAGTCACACAAACCTTGTAAGAACACGTGTCCTTTGGTGTATTAAGTAGGCTGTCATTAGTGGGATGTCACCCCTGCCATGGAAAGCATCCTTCCTGGTGTCGGGTGTACACAGTGTATGCAGCAATGAGACTGCCACGTGTGTGTGACACGTGTGGGACACACATCGAGGTTTAGGAAGTTAGCGAGGGGAGAAAGCTGACTAGGTTCGTCGGCAGAACTTCTGCTGCTCACTACTCTTAGAAGAGCACCGACTATCCCAGGGACTGCAAAGAGAACGGGTGTGTCTTGGAGAAGGTGCAGGCAAGGGTGGTGAAGCTTCATCTTCTGTGCTTGGAGTATGTGCTAGGAGAGGCTATTCCTTGGAGAGGGACATCATGCTTGGAAGGCGGAGGGTCAGTGAAGGAGATGAAGACTCAGTGAGATGGATCAAAACAGTGGCTGCAGCCATGGGCTCTCGTGTGTCAGAAACGGTGGTGATGGCACAGGATAGGTCAAGGTTCAGCTGTTGTTCACAGGGTCTTTCATTAAGGACTCAAGGGCACCTTACAATAGACCTGCTCACTTGGGACCATCCACACCAATGCCCTGCATCTGAATGGTTCCTAAGCACCACACCACGTCCAAGGTTAGCAAGACTGGAAAGCAAAATCAGAGACCCAGGCTCATCCCTTTTTAAGCCCCTTCAGCCTTGAAAACCATGCTCAGATGTGCCCATCAACTGTAACACAAAAATCCACCACACTTGTTTGGCAGAGCAAGGTTAACAAGTCAAACACTTTCCTTTCAGTACTCATGTTATGGATAGGATCATGTCCCCCAGAATGTGCTGATTGGGTTGGGCCATGATTCTCAGGACAGTGTAATTGCCCTATGAGCTGTAAGTCACCATCTTACCTGAGACAGCAGGATTTGGGGTTGTGTATATAACTGCCAGGAAATTAAAAGGCGCATTGCCATGGGAAAGTCTGCTGTTAGGGACCTCTCCAAAGTACTGAAGAGCAATGGTGTCTCTCTGGAGACTAAGGTGTGTTTGATACAGGCCATGGTCTTTGCAATCACTTGTTATGCATCAGAGAGTTGGACAATGACCAAGGAGGATAGAAGGAGAATTGACGCCTTTGAGCTGTGGTGCTGGAGAAGAGTATTGAGAATACCATGGACTGCTAGGAAAACAAACAGATTCATCCTGGAAAGGGTTAAACCGGGTGGCTCCTTGGAGGCAAGGATTCTGAGGCTCCGTCTACCATACTTTGGACATGTTGTGAGGAGAGACCGGTCCTTGGAGAGGGACATCATGCTTGGGAGGGTGGAGGGACAGCTCAGGGAGGGGAAGGCCCTCTATGAGGTGGATTGATTCAGTGACTGGGGTAATCGGGATGGGAGTGTCAGAGACAGTGCGATTGGCACAGGACAGAGCAGAGTTTAGGGCTGTTGTACACAGGGTCGCTATGAGTCTCAAGTGACTTGACGGCACAAAACAACAACATGTAACCATGGATAGATAATGCCTGTAATGTGATTCCAGATGTGATCAGCCAAAGGGCCCTTCATGAGGTGACAGTCCTGGTGTGAAGCGGGGTTTCCTTGGGATGTGACCTGGAGCCCCTTCGGGCCACCTGAAAGGATGGGGCAGGCCTTTAGGTTCCAGGTGTGTGCTAAGAAACTCTTGGCACAGGAAGGCCAAGCCCCATGAGATCTCCCAGGACTCCTGGCTACAGGAGCTGGGAGAACCCAGCGTGCCCCCTCTAGAGCTGGCAGGGAAAGTCTAGCCTGGACTCGCCTGGACTGGGAGGGTAACTGCCTTCCACGTGGAGCTGCTGCAGCAGCAAAGGGCAACTTACTGGCTGCTCAGGGTCAGAACTAGGACTCTGCGACCTGGACCGTCTGGGCCCCTGTTTGTTCTCATAGTTTTAAACTATTCACTGGATGATGTTCCATTGTCAAACCAACCCTCCAACTCCAAGTGACCCTAGAGGACAGAACTGCCCCACTCTTTGTCCTAGAGAGCCATCGGGTTTGAACCGCAGAGCTTTAACCACCTGAGCACTGCACCACCGGGCTCTCATGTTGTACTGTCATCCTGGTGAGATCAGCAGATGGCCTTGATATCATGTAACAGTTAAAACATAACAAAATAAACTTAAAACAGACAGCATCCGCTTCAGGTTCAGTTTAACCTGCGACTGGGAAGCAGCAAGCTGAGTAAACACTCACAAAGTCCAACCAAAGGTTCAGTGAAAAACGTTTCTTCTGGGCTCTGAATTTAGGTAGACCTGGTGATGTCACCAAGCCAATAAAGCTGTGGAATGAGGAATTCAAGGGACACACCACGCATTGTAATAATAAACAGGCACTGCTTTGTGAGGTGTATTACATTACGATAGTAAAGATGTTCGCAATGTTACCCAGAATCCCATTTTAATGCATACAAAGATATACTACATATTAAACATTTGACTAGGCGACATTAGATACAGGCCATACATCACTGTTCTCTTGCATTCAAATTTGACGTAAAGCCATATTTAGGAAGGAAACATGTTCATAATCCAGGGACGGCCTGCACTGAGCCAGTGTCCAAATGCATGTGAACTATCTGAACATCTTCATCTAGTTGTGGATGGTAACAAGGCGAAGAACACATCAGAAAAGAGAGGAACTCTCAACTCCCTAGAAAAATCTATAAAACAGTTGACACTATTTTCCTTAAAAGCACTAACTGATTGGCCTAAGGAATGGCCACAGACGCTGAGCTCTGGTGGTGCAGGGCAGAGGCAGCTGCTCCATTCAGAGGCTGAACCTCTCTGATCACCAGCAATTCAGGGGGAGAAAGAAGAGTGATCTCCTGGGAGCTGAGTGGGTTCAGCTCAATGTCAATAAGCCAACTTGTGAGGACCACGAACTAAGTCTTCAAGGGTGCAGCCCATCAGATCGCTACAGAAACATAGGCACCTAACAACATTGGAAAGATTGAAGTTTATAGAAAACCTTGTTCAATGATTGATTGGACCAGTGACTACCCATGAGAGCCCATGAGAAAGGTGCAGGGTAGGCCAGGGTTCAGATCTGTTGCTAATTGGGTCGTGTGAGTCATGGTCAATGTGATGGCACCTAACAAAACCTTGTGTGTCAGAAAGAGTGAGGACAGCACACAACAGAACAGGGTTCAGATCTTTTCATAGGGTTGCTATAAGACACGGCACCTAGCAACAACTGCAACCTATGAATGCAAAAGCTAGACAATAAGGAAGACTAAAGAAGAAATGATGCTTTCAAATTATGCTGGTGAAAAATATTGAACTTACTATGAGAACAAATGCCAGAATGCTTCTAAGAAGTGAGGATGGCAAGACTTAGTCTTATATACTTTATCCACTGTATAAACCATACACTGTCTACACGTTATCAGGAGGGATCAGTCTCCAGAGAAAGAGATCAAGCTTGGTGGAGGATCAGTGAAGAGGAAGATTCTCAAAAAGATGGTTTGGGTTGTTGACTGTCTGAAGCCAGCACCACTGAGCTCCAGCTGAAGGAGGAGGGTAAGTGAAGAGGTCTTGACACCATGGCTCCTACAAAGCCAACTGACCTTGACTTCACCGTGGGAAAGCACCCAGGAAGCTGCCTGCAAGAACACGCCCTCTTCTGGAGGAGTGACGAAGCTGCATCATTGCAGGCTTGGCTCTGTGGCACCCTGTGAAATGAGGTGTTATCAGAAACCCACTCAGCTTCCGATTCCTAAACTTCCAACATCTTGTGCAAGAAATTGCTCAGGACTTGGAAGCAGATCTGTGCTTGCAGAGTGCAGCTACTCGTGCTTTGCAGGAGGCATGTGAGGCCCAACAGGTGGGCCTTTTTGAAGACACCGACCTGTGCATTGTCCAAGCCAAAAGTAACAATTATGCCAAAAGACACGCAGCCAGCACACCTGTAGAGAACAGGTCTAAGAATCCACTAGGATGGGAAACATTTCATTCTTCTTTTTTTTATCTGAGTCCATGATTGTTAGGTTTGATTCACCTATTATACCCAGTTGGCCTCATAAAGGTAACAAAAAGGTTCTATCACAATTGCAGAAATGTGAGGATAGGTATGTCATACAGCTTTAGAAAAATGTTAGCACCTAATGCACTTAAGGCTTAAGAAAAATACAGACTAGTAGGTTTTCCTGGATGATATTCTTGATATCCTCCCACAACTCATCTGGTCTCCACTCTTTGGTGTTCAAAGCCTCAAACCTATTTCTGAGATG